GGCCACTGTAGGAACACAACACCACATATATACCTATCCTCTTATTGACGCACATTAGGTGTGTTCAATTTTTTTCTATTAAAATAAAACACGAGTGTTATGATTCATATATATAAAAGTTTTACTGAAATGTCTAGGAAAAGTTTTAATTGTTGAATCTACTAAATAGTGCAAAATAGTTTTCCAAAGTTTTGGGGCAAATGTATTGTTCTATTTGCAGAGAGTAAGAGTTGTTTTTATGCCACACTTTGCTGACAATTAAAATAACAAACTTAAAATCGCTTTAATGGGTTTGAAATATATTTCATCTTTTTTTTATTTTTCCTTCTTGACTGATAATATATTTCGGCAACATCTCCCACTGAGGTCTCTTCTGTGGTATACCTGTTCAAGCCAATAGCCCATATGTAGTTTTTTCTTTTTGGCTCATAGAATTACTTCTTAAATAATACTTTTCAAATTGCTTATCAACCATTTTCTTCCAGCGTTTAGTTTATCTTTTCACTAAATGCATTCTTTTGATGAATGGAAGTTGTTAATTTTTACGCTACTTTCTGAATCCTTTCGTTTTGCTTTCTTAGTGTCTCAGCTAAGGAAATCTTACCTGGAGGTCATAAAAGATACTTTTACTTTGTTTCTGAATTTCATAGTTTCGCATTGTTTATCTGAATAATCAGCTCACGCTGAATAAAATTTTGGTATAGAATGAGACAGTGGTTCAATTTTATAATTTTTTACTTACTAAAGAGCTTAACATGTCTCAATTTATATCAAGAGTTGTCTATGTCACCAAATTTTCATATAACAAAGAGACTGTTGTAGTATTCCTTAGTCAACTTGTTACTCTTTTGCCATGGTGTAAATTCTACAGTTTAATAATAATTATCTCTTTCAAGGTACGTGAAATGTCATGGCTACTTCCACTGCACAGTTCTTTCACATATATTTTAATAATAGCTTACCAAAGTCATTTAAAAATCCTCTAGAAATATTTTCACTGGAGTTATATTGAACATCTAAATCAACTCAGAGAAAACTAACTCAGCTAAGCTCCTGAGTCATCCAATCCATGAACATGATCTCTCTGTCTCTTTACAGAAGCTTTCTTTAATATGTTTCAATAAAGTTTATTTTCTGTATGAAGATCCTGCCTATGTTTTATTTTTTGACACTTGTACTTTCTCTCCATTTGTAGACACAATAAAATAGATGTTATATTTTATATTGTTTCCAGAAAACTTTATATTGTTTCTAACAATTTATTTGTAGTACTTTTGAGTTGCTCCAACTAGACATTCATCTATGAATAATAGCTTTATGCTATTCTTTCTAATTTATTTCTTTAACTTGTTCTTGCCTTCCATTATAAAGTCGAATCAGTAAGTGACAGCTTTTCTAACACTAAACCATACTTTCCTTCCTGGATAAACTTCCTGTTTATGGCGTTAAATAAGGTTTGACAATATCTGAAGATTTTTTGTGTTACTTTTATTAATGAAATAGACATATATTTTCCTGCTCATCTTTAAAAGATTTTACTATTAGGGTTATACAACTGTCTCATACTTCTCACATTCTCAAGATGTTACTACATTACTGGTATCAGAGTGGTATTTTCTTTATATTTATGTTCTCTGAGGAAGTTATATGCAAATGAAAATATTTGTTCCAGATTAGTGTAACTGATAATAAAATGGCTTTAAACTTTTCTTCTTCTTTCTCTTTATTTTTCTTTTCTTTTCTCACTCTCTCCCCCTTCCATTTTTTTTCCTGCTGTTTATTTATCATAGTGTTTTGAGTTTTGTACTTTAAAACTGTAAACTTATGTTCCTTGGAACTTTTAGGCTCTGACTAAAGATAATTCCCCCTCAAATGATAATCCTGCCCTGAAATACAATAAACATTTAGGCTACTTGTGGTCATCATTTCTTAGATAAAATTTCCATTTCACGTAGCACTAAGCTAGGAGACTGTAATTTCACATGGAGTTCCTGGATGGTAGATTTATTTTTAACTATGAAGAGTTCACTCATAGTGTTCCAGTTTTATGGTAGGGCTCTCCAATTATGCATCTCATTTTGGGGTATGACTTGGTTTTGTCTCCCATAACTGAAAGCAATACCAGTTGAAATATTATAATAATTAAGGATAAATAAAAACATTAGGATGAGTGCAAGAAGACTGATATTAAAAAGTACCTTATGAGTTAATTCAAATCACAGTCTAGAACAGAAAAATTAACCTACACTGTCAGAAAGCAGACTGAGTGGCTGCTCTGGACTGAGAGTGACCGCAGAGTTTCATGAGTTAACTATTTTGTATAACAAAAATGATCTGTATCTTCATTGTGGCAGTAATTACTTACCAAACCCTTAAAAACACTTAAAATTGTACATTTTATTGTATGTATATAAAAGCTGGTTTTAAAATGGGGATACACAGGGATAAAATATATCACATTACACATTTAATTTTCTTAGTCAATTTTATCTTAATAGTTTTTAAAAACTTCTTTAAGAGCTAGAATTCCAGAACTCAATCATGACTTTTTCCTACTTCCTAGCATCAATATTAGTATATAATGAATGGGGTCGATAAGGTAGCTTCTGCCCATTAATCCTTGGTTAGGTTGCCCCTGGTCTTTATTGCTCATGCAAATGTATTCTCCGACTGAAGGTTATTTTTAAGTTAACTCACCGGAGAAAAGGTCATTTATGTGGAACTGACCTTAAAATAATTTAAGGCCATTTTGACTCCCTTTTGCTATTACAGGCTTACGCAGTTATTTTATAAGTCATGCCAACCTGAGTCAGCAGGTTGGTATTCTGAAAGCTTCAAACTCTTCAATGGATGAAATGTGGATATTCATTCTTCTTTGTTTCACATGCAGAGGGTTTCAGAATAGTGTGACAGAGAAAGGGCACTCGTCCAAATTCATGGTCTAGCAAGATTTTTGTAACAAGGTAGCAGAAAGTGCTCAATTGTAAAGCACGCAAGGGCAAGCATGGATTATTCCTTGAGGCCTTTCCTTACCTCGAATCTCTATAGTCTTACCAGGTTTGACACAGCTTTTACTCTAGAGTTCTATATATTCTTTTCTCATTACTATGTTTCTGAGCAAACTTCATTCTCATTTGACTCTGCCCTTGAATTTCTATCTTAACCTCTTTTGTGTAATTTAATTTGGTTCAAATTCTTTGCTTCCTCTAATATTCCCAGTGCTGTGCATATCACTGTATGTATTAAAAATCAATGTCTTTAATACCTGTCATTGGACAGTTTATAGGCGAATGCAAAAACTTATACATATATAATGACAGAGAGACACACTGTGTCATTGATATATTATAAAAAGGGTCCCTAGGGCTGGGGATTTAGCTCAGCGGCATAAGTGCCTGGTTTGTAAGCATGAGGTCGTGAGTCGATCCCCAGTACCAAAAAAAGAAAAAAAGGTCCCTGCTCAGCTAAGCAGGCATTGTGAGGAGATGAAACCTAAACAAAGTCCTAAAAAGCTAACCTGTTTAAAGGTAAAATGATTCATCCTGAAGAAAACAGGAAGAGCAAAGGTAAGCTGGCCTACTGGTCTCATCAGGCCATCTCTTTGCGTGACTATTAGTATTCTAGAACTTTTTGGTAAAGAATGATATCAAACTTAATTTTTAAAAACTAAAATGTTCTTAAAATTGGAAAAAGACTGTCATTTATGTTGTTTCTACGTCGTCTTTTTAACACTACTACAAACTCTATGGTTCACAGTATAATACAGTATTGTTAAAGCACGGTTTTCAGGGAAGACAAATCTGAGCTGTCAGAGGAATTTAATGGTATGAAAGATGACAGATATACTTTTGTTATTTTCTATCTAGCCATGAAAAAATAGTATCATATTGTGGCAGCTGGAGATAAGCAAGAAAACATATTCAAAGCAGCAGCGTGATTTTTAAAAATAATACAAAGAAAATTAGCTACAAAAAGATGACACTGTTTATAGGTTGAAGGTTGCTCTACTAATTCTGTTGCCCTTGACCCTATCATCGCCTTCTCTGTGTTCAGTGTTATAAGAAATAATACAGCTACACATAGAGAATATTCTTACAGAAGACCATAAGCAGAAGACCATGTCCACCCTCATGGGCCAGTGTGTGGGCACGTATGTGTGTGTGCGTGTGCCCACGCAGAGTGTGGGTAGCTGCTTAGGCTACATCAAGTATGGTTAGACAGATCAAGCCACAGAATGTCTTTTAAAAACCTTGAGATTGTAGGTTTCAATGAGGATTATCTTCATAAATTTGAGGTACACAAACCAAAGGACATAATTATAATTTAAAGATTTTACATATCCAATAAAATTGGGATATGTGAATAGTTATTAAAAACATTTTCCTTTTCTGTTACTCTTAGGCTACTTTTATCACCATCGGCTGGTTGGCCTCTTAAAACATATCTGACCTCCATGTAAGCTCTATTACCTCTATGAGATTATTTTATTATTTAAAATAGAATACTTTCTCAGACATTTTGGGATGTCTGTGCTGTAATTCATGCAAATAAATAAACAGTACTATTTAAATATACATACACTTAGTCTAGAAAAAATAGAAACTTTCTATCAGCAGATTCTTCAAAAGACACTGGATTTAAAAACAATGTAAATCACAACCCATCCTGTAAACCTCATACAGCCCAAATGTTGGATATATCATTTTCCCCTTTAATTGGAATTACAAAGTATTTTAAATGTTAGAGGTTAAAACAGTCATGGTTAAATGTTAGGAAGCAAGTTCAAACTGTAGAAACTGTACCTAAAATATGGACTATCATTCAGAATTAAAGCTTTGTTCAAATCACTACTTTCAAATTATTGAAACATACAGCTCAATAGAAGCTCTCACAGCAGACAATTAATAAGACATACAGAACATTTGATTTTATACATGAAACAGGAAGGTGCAGACAAGAATTATTTTACATAAAAAAACAAAAACAAAAAAACACCAAACCTTAAGGAAACTGTTGTTATTGTTATTGCAGTTGCCACATACTTCTTGCAATTCAGCCTCAGTGCTCTAAAACAGTTGACAGAAACAATTAAAGCATGTCTCATGCCCCACCCCACCAAAACAACAGGGTCATGGCCAAGGACAAAAAACACCAGTTCTGGTACTTGCTGTAACATACACTGTCAAGTGCTAAGGGGGAGGCAACTATACCTTGGTTAAAAAATATTCCACTTGCAGTTTCTCCACATTATATACACAACATAAAATATACCCTTGTTAAATCTATGGTATTAACATATCATTCATAATAACTGCAATCCCTTCCTGACACACAATCTATTTTCTACTAGGAAAGGAAAGCAGGATGAGTCAAATTTAATACAATATTTTTAATCCTCTTACATAAAATTACATTCTTACATAAACCATTGGTTCCTTTAATATGTTTGCCCCTACAAATTAACCCAAGCATTAAAAAATACATATTTAGTTAAGTAGATACTTTCAATTTTATCTAATATTTTTAAAGTCTATAATAATAATACTGTTGTGATATTATTACATTGATAATTTTCAGAAATAAACACAAATTATAAAAGAAAGAATGATATATTTTAAGAGAAGGGGCTCCAGTTTCTAAAGTGATGTTTAATCTTATTATAAAATACTGCCTAAAGAAATTTTGAAATGCCATCTAAAATATAAGACTTTACAATACAATAAATACTTTCGTTTAAAAGAATATTGTGAGAAGCCAAATTTTGTAAGTATATATAAAATTTTAATTTCAATGGCCCTATTTCCAAATTCATAAAAGGCATACAGTACCAACCCGTGCAGACTGTATTTCTAATGAGAACCCACGGCCTTTAAATTGTGTAACAATCTTTGATAGAAACCCATAAAATACAAAAACAGTGCACAAACTGTATACCAGAGTTACAGCATTTTGCTACTAAAAGGTCAAAGTGTTGATAGTTGTGAGTTATGATAGGATATTAGATGTTATTAAAAATTAAATTCTAGTTGAAAAATGAACCATACCCCCATAATTTCATGGCATAGTGTTGACTGTCTGAGTGGTTTATTGAAATCCTCCATGGTTACCTTTCAAGTTTTTAAAAAAAAGAATAAGAAAAAAAAACAAATAAACATAATTATATTGTCCAGAAATGCAATCAATCATAGAACACTCAGATATGTATTCATAATTTTTCAGTGGTTCATGTTTTCATCTCCCTCTTCTTCATAAGATATTCCCTCTTGCTCCTCAGCCTTCAGGTCAGGGTCATTTTTTATTTTTTAATTTTTCAATCTGAATATTTAGCAGACAGTAAATAGATACAGGAACGTATGTTAAAAATGGAACTGGTTTTTGCCTATTTAAAATTTTTCTATTTTAAATATTTGAAGTAAACAAATAGAAAAAGTAAAACATTAAATAGTTTGAGGATTACCTATACATTTCAAAGGCTAAGAGAGCATTACTTGTAATTCTCTAAAGCAAATAAAACAGATACACGTAAGCATAAATAATATAGCATTAAGAAACATACAAAGATATTATTCCTAGGTTCCCTCTATTCTTTCTTATAAACTAATATACTTTAATTTTTCAGGATATAATTCTCACATCATGCTATTTTCCATGTAGCCAATGTAAGCAATTAACTCCTCTCTGACAAGAACCAAGTTGGAAGCAACCTTGAGGGGTCTGATCAACAACTGCAGCTCTGCAGCCTTCAGTGAACAATATGAATCTAAGGCTGGCTCTGGAAATCAGCTGTATTGATTACTCTGTATCTAAGTAGAGGTTTTCCTGACTAGATTCAGGGAATGTCACATGGAATATCAAATGGAAGTGATTCTAACTCTGGAATCATAAGATTCTATAAAATGAGAAAAGTGAAAAAAACAAGTGAGACTATACACTTTCACGACCTGGTCTAATAAAAATAAATTAATAAATCGGTCAGTTACACGAAATGAATCACATCACTTTTTAAGGACAATAAATCTATTCACTACCCAGGATTGGTTTTCCTCAGTTCTTTCACCTGCTGGACATTTTATTTTCATTTACAGTGAAAGAAAACAAAATTGTAACCTTAAAACCAATCAGTTAATATTTGGTAATATTAGTAAAAAATGACATTGAGTAATAACACTGAAAGTCTTAACACTAGAGTAGATTTTCATTATATATTTAGCTTTTATCTCTCCTATGGAGAGAAAATTAGGAGTTGGCTTTACTTGGGCATATCTTAAGTAAGGCATACTTCAACAGACTAGAAAGGGGAAAGACACAAATAGGAGATGAGAGAGAAATACAAAGAAATAGACTAGCATTCTCAGTCAAATGAAAATTGCTTGGGATAACAGTAGCAAGCAGCTGATTTCTACAACCTCCAGAAAAAAGAGGACATTCAGCAGAGGGCTAAACTAAGTTTTAAACATTTCTATACTCAGCTATTCTTCTCTGTTTAGCTTCAGATGATGCTCATCAGTTGTTGCCTAAAATAAAGTAATTCCCATATATTCAACTTTCTTATTATTAAAACTACCACAGAACCTGAGTATCATAAGAAGCCCCATTATTTTAAATTGGACTCCTCTTAATATCTTTGGTTACCCAGTGATTCTGTGTGTTCTTGAATCTCGACAGACCAATCAAGAGTGTTCTGTACACTCTATTCAAAAACAAGGGAGACTCCAGATTTGGAGCTGGGAAGACTGTTCCAAATCTAACACTGCCAACTATTCACTCCACAACTAGAAAACAACAACAACAACAACAACAAAAAGCTTCAGTTGCTGTATTTCTAGAAAAAAAAAACCTACTTATTGCTTTAAGGATTAAATGAGATCATGTAGGACAGGCACCTTCTCTCACAGTGCCTGACACTCACTATTTACCATTACTCCTGCCTATAAAACTATAGGTGAAATTAACAATGTCCTGTGTAAAAATATACAAATAAACTCATTTGCTATCTTCCAATTGCTATATGCTATGTTCTTACATATGAATGTGAAATAAAAACATTCTTTTCGTATTTATTCAATAGATCAAAAATATAATTCTGGAACATATTCCAAAAATACACACACACACACACATACACACACAGACAAGCTTATCTGCTTGAGCTGAAAACTTTTGGTGAAAAATGTGATTAATTCCTCAAAATACCCAGAGGAAAATGTGATATGTGACTTAAACATTTCACCTGGATAAGCCTCAAAGAAAGACGGGGTTTTATTACTCTCATTCTTTAGAACTGCTGTCGCACATCACACTTACAGAATGACAAGTTGGAAGAGATGTGGAGATCTAGCCTCCTCCCCATACCTTAAAGCAAGGCTCCTGAGCCACCTACACAAGAAATACTGGCTTCCTCCCTTTCCACCACTTGATGTCACCATACTCTCCTGAATCTTGGGACCACAATCTTTCTCATAGGGTGCAGAGGTAAAAACTAAACCTGCAGTGGATGATTCTAAAATCCTGCAATAGGCTTGCAGCCAAAGCAAATCAACGCCTCTAATAAAACATAAAACACTGGAGCAGAGAATTGAAAATTAGGTAAATCCAAGTACAAATATTTGAGAAATTAGCATTTTAATTTTAGAATCCAAAATAACATTTAAAAATATGATTTTAATAATTTTCATATCTAGCTACCAGTACAACTAAAAAATACGTCCCATTTGAAGTGGACTCTACAAGTGAAAAAATAAGTAAATAGAATTTCAAAAGAATATTAAAGAGTTTCTAATAAAAAGTTAATTGATATACTATTTGTAATTTTTCACAATAATACACAGAATACATCCACTGTATACTGCAAACATAAGAAAACTTATTACACATCTGTGCTAAAACATCTCAAAATAAACACACAGGAAAAATATTTAAATATCCAATTATCAATCTTCTCTATGTCCTAGCTAAAAACAAAAAAGTTCTAGAAAAATAATATATTCAGGTGAGAGCAAATGCTAAACATGAAGTTTCACTATGTTTACAACAGCTAGGATAATGAATATTTATTTTATCACAATATGTAATAATTATAAAGTACTACAACTAAATTGTTGGATCTTTTGACACGCCAATATGAAACAGACGCATGATTGGCTGTGTTCATCACATAACACACTGTCCCATTTTATCAGTGGATGTTGGCACTGACATTAGAAATAGGCCAGCATCTGTATTACATTGCAGCACACAAGGGTTCTAGAGAGCTGTTTTTACTTGGGCGTTAGCATGTCCTCGTTTACTTGATTTTCTACAGAAAGCAGGAGTAAAATTATTCCAATATGTACCTATTCTGTGCAGCACATGCTGAGGGAAAAGCTGTGCTCTGCACTGTGTTAGCACAAAGCATAGTGAGCAGACTAAAGGACTTTGGGGACATGCGGGAAACAGCAATCCTTAGTACTTTCTGTGTATGTTTTTGTATGTACTAATGGTTATTTTCACTTAAATGTACTTTTTCTGTTGTTTATAAAGTAAGAAAATCATCTAATTCTAGCAATGGAAGCAGCCAGTATTCACATTTTGGTGTTCGGATCCCTTTTTGCTTCCATAAATTTCTATATAATGGTATGGTAAAAGATAAGGTTGATCTGTTCTACAGTTCACATGTGGTCAATAGGGTGCCAAAGCTTGCCTCATATGTTTCTACAAATGCTATTGTTTTCCTGTGAGGATAAATGTGTAGCTCACTGCAGACACATTCTCCTTAAGAAAAAGCAAAGGGCCTACCACACTGTCACACAATAATACGAGAGCTGCACACGGTGGTCAACACAAAGAGGACAACACAGGAAACAGCACTCACAGCCACCCTACCTCATCGTCATCCGCGTCATACTGGGCATAGTGCTGCTCCAGCAACTCTCTCTGGCGTCTCTCTTGCTCCAGGGTCTGACTTATCAGTTGGGCAACCTCACTCACTTGTCCTGGTTTTTCTCTCCCAATGACAAATCTGTAGAAAGGGCAAGGAAGACTGTGTGGTTATGACTCTCCAGCCAAAAGGAGCACTAAGCTAAGTAACCAAGCTGAGATCCCAGCAGAGTCTATGAAGTCTCCCCAAACTAGGATCACCCGTCTACTTCAAGAGTGTGCCTGGTGGGCGGAAAAGTTAGTCAAGGAAGCCACTTACACAGACACAGCTCATAAAGGGGGAAGGAGGACACTAAAAGTTAATACTTTGAGAGACATAACGGTTAAATACATTCTTTTTATTTATTTTTTGACACATGGCCTCTGTATATACTTTAAACATTTTGGACACCTTAAACAATAGAAGGAATCACAATTTCCTGTACCAAACTTCATCATTTCCATTATAATGTCCTCTTTATAAAGAAAAAAAAATTTAAGAACGTTTTGAGGTATAGAATAACTTTGATGGTCAACTGAAGGACACTGACTTTTTGTCAAATTACTAAAACTTTGCTAATAGGAAAGGGAAATAGAAGTGATATATTTTGTTTTGTTTTTAGAGGAAATTCCTTTGAGGGAAATGATGGTAGGAGAAAAAGTGTAGTCCAAGAAATAAAGGGATAAAGGGAAGTAACTCTGATACTAATTCCTATGGGGGGAAAGCAAGGAAAATTTTTATTACAAGCAACACTTATAACACATCCTTCCCAATACAATGTATTTTGCTCAAGCAATTAATCTTAACAAGGTTCCAACATTAACATATCATTCTATTTTTCTTTTCTTTTCTGTTATTGAGTCAGGGTCTCACTATGTAGTTCAGGCTAGCCTTGAACTCATTATTACCCCAGGCTGGCCTTAAACTTGCAACACTCTTCCTGTTCAAGCCTGCTCACACACCACACCCAGCAATCATTCTATTTTTCTAAAACTAAAAGTATTATGTCTTAAAGACGTGGTTTTTAAGTATCATTTAACATTACTTTGAATGTGACTCTTAATATTGCTTTTGTACTTAATTGATGGCTTCCCTTGATTAAGTTACTATATTCAATTAATTTTAAGTGACACAGACCACTGTTTTCTGCACAAACACACTGAAGGTAAAAATTCTTATACTTTGGGGTCAGGGATACAGCTCAGCAGTACAGCACCTGCATGACAAGTGCAAGGTCCTGAGTGCGATTCCTGGTATAAAAAAATCTTACATTTTGATGTTAATAGCTATCTTCTCAGAAATACTTTGAAGCAAGACTTAGCTTTGAAAATAAGCATGGGGGTGCATTATTTTTCAGTTATTTTCTATTGGGTATCAGGTATAAACAGACTATTGATACTATAACTTTTCATTTTATTCAGATATAATTTTTCACAATAAGACACATCTATTTTAACATGTAGTTCAATAAGATGACAAATATGTAAACTGACAATCACTATAAAGATAACAGAAAATCATCTCTGCCCTGGGCTCACATTAATATTTCCTAGAGTTTCATATAAATGAAACCACAAGAGAGGTTCTGTCATCTTTGGATCACTACAGTGGCTTACAGATTTATTCATGCAGTTCCCAGCACAAGGAATTTTTTCATTTTTATCACTAAATAGTATTTCATTAAATGGGATATATCACACTTGCTTGATCTATTCTGATAGGTATATAGGGGAGTTTCAAATATTAAAATTATTTATTAAAATTAATACACTAAATTATTATAAACATTTGTGTACAAGTCTTTGTAGATGTTTTCACTTCCCTTAAACAAATAACTAATACAGAAACTGGTGAATTATATGGTAAATGTATACTTTAACTTTAAAAGAACCTGCAAGATTGTTTTCTGTCTATTGTAACAGTTAACTGTGGAGGTGACCTGAATAAGAAATGCCACGTGGTTTAGTGGAAAGCAGTTCTGGATGCGTGTTATGGATTGAAAACTAGTGGTCAACTTAACGCCAGCGGGATTGCATCAGCATGGCATTGAGCAAAGATGCTCCACTTGAGGAAAGTTGCTAAGATAAATAGGTAGAAAAAAAAGGAGATGTGGAGGGTTGAGTGTTAAAGAGGCATTGTGGGTTCTCCTAAGAGTTGCTGTCTGAGCTGTTGGTTCTCCTGGAGAGACTTAGGTCCTCACATCGAGCATTGATTCCTGGCTCCGGAGGGGAAGACATGTGCTGCCTGGTCTCCAGGATGAACTCGTCATGCTGCTTCCTGGCATGTACCCGACTGTGCTTGTCGTCGGAGGAGCTCGGGGCCTCCGTGTCGCTGAGGACAGCTGTGGTGCCTTTCAGGATAGCCCTAGTCTTTGTTGTGAGTGTGACTTCTCGGCTCCAGCATAGAACCCTCATCCCACTAGCACAGCTCCTTCATCCTGCTGGCATGGACTTTCTGGCTCCCACCGCTGACCCTTGGGTCTTCCCGGCACAGATCCATAAAAGAGACTGGCGTGAGTCCTTCTTGTGGGCTCTGGACCTCCAGTTGGACTCGTGGGAGGCACTGTCCTGAGCTCTGGGTTTTTATCTGGACTCATGTGGGACATTGCTGTGGGGTTTAGGCTCTTGACTAAATAATCTATGTCTGTGGTGTTGCGGATAGATTTCCTACATTTTCCTGTGTTAACTTCTGGTGAGCATTATAAAAATATTGTAAACTCCATGTCCTAATCCTAGTTGTTCTTAGTATACAACCCCTGACTACAACAGTGCATCTGGATGATGGGCTTGTAAGCAGTAAAATGAAGAGGGAAGACCCACCCTGGAAGGGGGTGGTACCGACCCAGAGCCTAGATGGAATAAAAAGGGAAAGAGGAGGGAAGTCTGCCCTTTTTCTTTTTCAGAGGAGCTCCAGTTTTCACTATCATTTTTGGGTATTCATTCCTTCATGCTTCTAGCATGAACTCTTCGGCTTCCCTACCCAGAACCTCCAGCTTTTCACTGGGGACGCACACAGGACTGAGCATCGAGCCCTTTAACATTCACCTGGATCCTCTGGCTGTCCGCACGCGGGCAGTCATTCTGCATTCTTCCACTCTGCAGATAACCACTATAAACCTACTTTGTAAATCATATATATACAGAATCTGCTGAAAATGTATACATCAGAAAAAGAAAAAATCTGTATAAATATTTAATGCTAAATTTTTGGAATCATTGTGAGATTAATACAAGTTACCTTACGCCTCTACAATTACAAGAGATGCTCAAAGTGGTGGCCATTAGCTTCCAGACATTTACTAGTACAGCAAATTGCTAAAAATGTGTATACATTTTTTTGGAAGACTCTATATAAATCTGCACTTCTAATGAACCCTAGCTGATACAGGTACCATTTTACATTTCTACTAGCAATGCATAAGTATATTTGCTTTATTGCCACACCAAAAGCTAGTATTGTCTATTACAATTTCAGCCATTCTAGTGGGTCTCTAGTAGTATCTCAGAATGGTTTTAATTTCTAATGCCCTGATAACCAATCATATTAAATATCTTTCTGCATACTTACTGACCATTCATACATTTTCCTCAGTGAGATATTTAAAAGCTTTTGTCTGTCTCTAAAAATTGAATTTTCTTTTCATCATTGAGATTCTGGATACATATCCTTGTCTGTACTGCAGATATGTACACATAACACATTATATATGGATGTTTTATTATCATCTCCCACTTTGTGACACTCTTTATAAAAAATTTTAATTAAATTTAATATTTTTTAATTTTGTATTTCATGGAAAGCTAATTTATCAGTTTTTAAAAAGCAATGCCTTTGCTTTCTAAAGAAATCTCTGAATAAGACTGTTAAGAATTTCTCCTACTCTTCCTTATGAAGTATGAACCTTTTCCTTTCATATTAGATTTCTTTCTTTGAAATTAATTTTCATGCATGAAGTGTAATAAGGGTGAGGTGTCATCATTTTTCCAAATGGATAATCAGTTGTTAAACATTATATGTTGAAAAGACTATTCACTTACCACCAATGAATTATTTGGATATTTGAATGTATTTTGAGAGTTGGTTTCTGGAATTCCCAATATAAAATTTATACCCATACCATACTTCTTGATTCCTATATAATACATCCTAATCTAGGTGGAATGAGTTCAAATCTGGGCATCTTTTTTCACCTGTATTTGCATATAAATTTCATAATCAGCCTGTCCATGTCTAAAAGAAAGTATACTGGTGTTTGATTTAGAATTGCTTTCATCTATGCATCAGTTTTTACAGAATTAACATGTAAGCAACATTAACTCATCTGATCCATGAACATGGTATATCTCTAACTTTATTTAGATCTTCACTGTCTCTGTGTATCACACTATAGTTTTTGGTATACAGGTTTCACTCATTAACCCTATGAAAGTTTTGTTTAGATTCCTCAGGATTTTTCCATAAAAAAGATCACACCTATTATTAAGAAAGATATTTTTTCTCTCTCCTATTAATTTCTTTTGCTACTTATTGCTTTTCTGCACTGGCCAAGATATCTAAAATAAGTTAAAAAGAAGGTTGTTAAGATTAGCCATATTTGCTTTGTTCCCTGCCATTCTAAAATATCAGTTCTTAACCTAGAAAAAGAGATTGATTTCATTTGAAAATATTAAAGTTTCTCAGGTTGAAGATGCATGAAGTGTTTAATGTGTTAAACTAATCTAGAGATACACCACTATCCTGAATTTATTTTGTTTTTGGTAAATCTATGTATGAACAAATTATGTCTAATGATACATACATAAAGCAATTCAAAAACTCATATCCTAAAATGGAAATTTTAGAATAACCTAGACTGGCCTTTTATTTTTCATTAAATGTATCACAGGATAAAATATCAGAGAGCATCCCTCAACTACTACAAAGTTGACGGGAGATAAAAGGAAGCAGATAAAATATAAAATGCAGATTCATAAAATACAGTAGTCAAGCCCAATGTCAAAGGTAAATTACAATTCATGTTCACATTGGTCATGAATGCTTTAAATTCATTTTAGAATTACATTGTCAGGTTTTTAGTTTGACTTTTAGTTAAAAAGTTCTTC